CGATGTGAAAAGTCACTGGAGAAACTGGTTTCGAATATACTACCATCTTTTGAATCTGGAATTGGGCTCGATGTGAAAAGTCACTGATAAAACTGATTTCGAATATACTACCATGTTTTGAATCTGGAATTGAGCTCGATGTGAAAAGTCACTGAGGAAATTGATTTTGAATATACTACCATGTTTCGAATCTGGAATTGAGCTCGATGTGAAAAGTCACTGATGAAACTGATTTCGAATATACTACCATGTTTTGAATCTGGAAATGAGCTCGATGTGAAAAGTCACTGAGGAAACGGGTTTTGAATATACTACCATGTTTCGAATCTGGAATTGGGCTCGATGTGAAAAGTCACTGGCGAAACTGGTTTTGAATATACCACCCTCTTTTGAATCTGGAATTGAGCTCGATGTGAAAAATCAGAGGAAACTGGTTTCGAATATGACACCACATTTAGAATCTGATATTGAGCTCGATGTGAAAAGTCACTAGTGAAATGACAAGATATTGGATTCGCATCGATATGCCCCTTCCCTATAAGTCCAGAGTCCGTCATTTGAATACAGGACCATCAACAGCTATCCTCACAACAATGGCCCTCACTTCTACTCTCGTGCGCAACTTTGCCGATACTATTGAGCTCGCCCGTGCTCGTCTCGCCGCTGGAATCGAAACCAGTATTCAAGAAAACAACTTTTCGATGTGTCCCTGGACCGACTACTTGACCATGAAAAAGTGCAACAAGTTCAAGTCACTGTATCCACTTGACCGCGCGTGCGAGCACAACGACATCAAGTTTCTGCAATGGTGGCTGAACCAGAATCTCCCCACTATGTTCATGTATACGACCCAAGCTCTTGATTTTGCATTGGGCCACGGCAATATCAAGATTATTCAGTTCTTTATGCTGCACAACATTCCGCTCGAATACTCGAGTCAAGGGATTGTCAATTCCATGAGCAACGGTCATATCCAAGTCCTGTCCTTTGTGGCCAAGCACATCAATGACGACCTCATGAACGACGACGAAGTTGAAGACGTCAACAATGGATTCTATCTCGCTGCCAAAAATGGTCACGCGCAGGTGTTTGACTGGTTCCTGAACCAGTATGGAATTATCAACACCACATTGCAGAATGTCATGGTCGGATGCGCTGTGGGCGGTCAAATCGAGCTTCTTGAGTGGGCACTGTACCATTGGGACGCTTTCCAAGGCCACGATGTGGTCCATCTTCTGCCCATCATGAACGCAGCCGCAAGCAATGGTGATATTGAGTATCTCAATACCCTACAGCAACTCATCCCCGATTTTCACGAAAAGTACACCAAAGCAATTTATGATTATGGAATGGCACACGACCTGCCTGCCGAAATCGCTTCTGATGGTGGTCACGTGAACGTGCTCGAGTGGATGGTTGTGAACAACCTTGACTTTGGTTTTGAGCATGTGGGGAAAAAGTACACGCTGGAAGGATGCAGTGGGGGCCTGTTTGTTGAGGAGTGGTGGCACGAGTATTTTGCTGACCTGTTTAAGAAGAGCACCTTGCAGTGATTATGATTGGGCAATGTAATGAACCATGCATGTTGTGAACGTTATTGATTAACAAGATATATGCATGAGTCCACCACTGGCAATCACAATCAAGATGCGCCGCAAGACCCGCCCTGCCAACATTGATGTGTGGTACTCTGGTCAAAATCCGGTTCCCATATTTGATACATCAAAAGTCAGTTCTGTCAAGTATCGCCAAGAGTTCCTCGTGAAGGTGTTGCAGCATTCCGGTGCTCCAACCCATTTTTGCATGAAAACCATTGGTGGAAAGCGAGTATTCAATTTGCTTGTCCTGATAGCCATTTTTGTGGCTTCTGTGGACGTGTTGCCAGATATCTTGATTGTCCTAAAGCAGCAAATCGGTTGTTCAATCGACTCTGAAACGCAGCCTCACGTTACTGAAGCTGCATTTTACAAAGTGTGCTTGCCAATCTTCAACCAGCTTTCCCCAAGCATTCTCTCAGCCACCATCGTCAATGCCATGAATGACATCGCTATTTAAATTTGAATTAAAGCATTACAAACACCCAACTTGTTTCCCAACTTGTTTCACCAAAATGGACCGTGTCTTGTCCCTGTCAATGCGCCCCAAGTCGTTTGGTCAGGTGGTTGGTCAGGACAAAATCATCCAGTCTCTCAAAGCGCAATTTGCATCTGGTCGCATTCCCCATTTCTTTTTGTTGTATGGTAGTGTTGGTTGTGGCAAAACGACATTGGCTCGACTGTTGGCCTATGCTGTCAATCAACAAGACAGTGCATCCTTTTTGGATGGGCAGAATGGACAACTTGATGCAGATAATTTCAAAAAGTACGACATTCAGGAAATCAATGCAGCAAACAGCAACGGCGTGGACGACATTCGGAAATTGGTTGCCAATCTCAAGTACAAGCCTTTTCCACCATCCCTCGCCAAGGTTGTCATCATGGACGAGGCACACCAGCTTACAACTGCCGCCCAAAACTGCCTGATTACTGAGACGGAAGACGTTCCCGACCACGTGTTTTTCATTTTATGTACATCGCAAGAGGGAAAAATCATCAAAGCTTTGGAGCGACGGGCATACATCATCCGTCCCAAGCAAATGAATTACGACGAGACCATGACGCTGGTCACCAATGCAGCCGAGCAGTGCAATTTCAAGCAAGACATTGACCCACTGGTAGATGCACTCGTTGACGCAGCAGTGACAAGTCCAGGTCTCATTCTTCAAGCTGCAGAAAAGTACTTTGGTGGCATGACGGCAGCTGAAAGCATTCATCACCGTGATGAGGGAAGCGTGGATGCATTTGCTCTCAGTAAGCTCATTGCACGCGGTCACTGGAAGGAATGCACCCCGATTCTCAAGAAAATGTCCAAAGGGGACATTCCATATGTTCGAGGTGTTGTACTGGGGTACCTGAAAACCATTCTTCTAAGTGTTGATGGAAAACGTGCGCACAACGTGTCCCAAGCCATCCAGCACCTGTATGGTTCTCCATTTGACGACTTGGCTGCCCACCTGGCTGCGATTTGCATTGTTTGTTCATACATGAAGCAGTGAAATGTATCAAATGTGTATATACATGAAAATCTCGTGTTTATCTTGAAATGCTCTGTTGCAGTCTGAGCCACTCGTTGTTGGTGCACTGTTGTGTTGCCTTGTTAAGAGCAGCATGTCAAATATGACATGATGCGTATAATGGTCGTGGTTGGAACCATATTCAGCAGAAAACGTTGTTGTACGTTTCCTTTGGCGTCAAAATGAGAGCTGGACCAAGACTATAAATGCGGGCCACCCCCTCCGTCCCATTCACCTACCCGACCTTCCAAGCAACACCCTTCCAAGCAGCACCATGAACACCGACTTCACCTTTCAAGACTTCCTGATTGACCAAGACGACTTGACCCAAGGGGATACCGAGTTATCCCAAGACGGAGACGACCTTCTCGCCAACCTGCGCCAACGTCGTGCAGACTCTCAAGACGTCACGGACCTTCTTGCCGAACTGTTCAACGAGGACTACGAACCTCTTGTTCCCGACTTGGTCAACACTGGGTCGCCGGGCCATGACGATGGCTCCTCTGTGAGTTCCACAAGCAGCACGCGGGCGTCCCAAGGGTCAACGATTCAGCTCGCGCCATTCAGTACTCTTCGAGTCACGTGTATCACCCACATTGTCTCGACACGTCATGAATGGACGCATTTTGGGATTTATGCTGGTCGCGTCTTTACCGCCGCAAATGGGGTCGCCAAGCTGTATGCCCCGCTCAACCTATCGCCGGGATACTTTGGTCTCGATGAAGAGTTTGTCGTTTCCAACATGACCGGGTTCACTTTCATGATGGCCGCCGAGCGATGCACGAATGAGGAGCTGGTTGATTTCATTTTGCGCTTTTCGTGTTCTGCAGACCTGGAGTTTGAAAGGGCGTTTTCGAGTGCTCGTTCTTGGATGAACTCCCATGGCAAATTTTACATGTGGTGAATGAAATTGTTTAATTTGGACGTAATGTTTGGAACACGACAATGTTTGTCTTTCCAAGATAGTTGACTCTTGGTGAGTACGTCACGGACATTCTGAAAGTATTGTGACACGATATTATCATTGTGTAGCACACACAATGATAACTGGAAAACCCCATGGCGGATTCGAACCGCCGACTCCCAAATCAGAAGTTTGGAACTCTGGCCAACTGAGTTAATGGGGCTTGACGATGCTGGGTTGACTCGAACAACCACGCCCCGAGGGCAAAGTCTTAGCAGGACTTCATGTCTACCAATTCCATCACAGCATCTTTGAGCACAACTCTCGCTGTACTCAACAATACTTTGAAAAAAAAGAATTTGATTTTAGTGCGTTTAGACGAATCAATGAACAAACTGCGACTCTTCAATCCCATGTTCCAACCAAAAGTCCATGATTTGAACTTCAATGGCACCAGAGAGCCGGTGCAAATCAAACGCATCCTGGGTGTAGACGAATTCAAACTGAGGATGTGCTTTCCACCACAGCAGAGACTTGATGCACCCGTTAATCGAGGCGGCATTGACCGCCATTTCCGTATACTCGAATGGCAGTTCAGGGTGGGCGACAAACCAATCAAGCACATGGGTCATCTCGTTGTATGAAGCAGCATCAATACCGTCTTCAGAGTAGAGCAGGCTTAGTCCTGAATTCCAAAACCACTCGAGAACATTGACGTGTCCAAATGCTGCAGCACAGTCCATGGCCACGTACGTGTACTCGGGTTCGTCCAATTCTTCCTTCCAGAACTGGAGCACGTCGACATGTCCATTCTTGGCCGCCATATCCATGGCCTCTTCTGTGCAGTCAAGTGGCATCGAGTGTTTCTTGAACAGATTGAGGACCCCTACATGGCCAAACTCGGATGCAAGGTCCAATGCCCACTCGTCAAACAACAGTTCCAGATTGCTCTTGAACCACCACTCAAGTGTCGATATGCAACCATTTGCACAGGCAGAATGGATAGCGGCCTTGGAGTACTTGAGTTCGAGACCACTGTGCAGCCACCAATCCAGGACGTTGACATTCCCTTCTTCCGATGCATTGTCCATGGTATCGTCCGTGTACTTGAGTGGAAGGTGGTCCTTGTGTGCCGCCCACCAGTCCAGCACTTGAATAATCCCATGTGTCGATGCCACATTCATGGCATATTCTGTGTACTTGAGGGGCAGCACATCTCGATGCCTGAACCACCAATCAAGACTGTCGGTGGAATTGTATTCGGAAGCCAGATTCATGCTGGACTCGGAATACTTGATTTCGAGTCCACTCTTCAGCCACCAGTCGAGGACTTGAATCATGTCGTTTTCAGACGCAATATCCATGCACTCTTCTGTGTACTTGAGTGGAACGCCATACTCGACGTGAGCCTTCTTCCAAAAATTGAGAGCATCAATGTGTCCTTCCAAGCAAGCGAATGAAATGGCGTCTTCGTCGTATTGGAGTTCTTCGAGTTTCAGGTTCTTGACATGCCATTCAAGCAACCAAACGTCATTGAACATGGCAGCAACGTTGATGCTCAGCCGGTCACAGGAGCGGACAAGTTGTTTCTGCGCCCACGTGTCTCCAATATCACCACACAGTAAGAATGCACTGATGACATCACTGTAATCAACTTCATCGTAGCTAGTCGCATCACTGTCTTCGACTGTTGCTCCCAAACAGAGGAAAATTTCGGAAAGGACCTCTGTTGGGAGACAAGCCATTTTGGGTGAACATAAACACTCCCCTGTCCCACTTATATCTGTGCCAGAAAATCGATGACTAGATGTCACGAAGTGTCGTCTGAAAAGCGTATGAATAGTAGTGAAACTTGTCAGTGGTTGGTTTGTGTTTTTTGAACCACTGAATGATATTGTCATGTCCATTGAACCGGGCCCACATCAGTGCGCAATATGTATATTTCAAATCAAGCTCAGAGTCCCGGAACCAATCAAGAATGCAAATATGACCATTTGCACATGCAATGTCGATTGCCCCATTCGTATATAAGAGTTTGAGTCCAGAGTTCTTCCACCATTCCAATATCTGAACATTCCCTGAGCCAGCTGCATAGTCTATGGCATTGATTGAATATTCCATGCGCCCGTGTTCTTTGAGGTAATTGAGGAGGTCAGTGCAACCATGTACACTTGCATTGGTGGCATTGATGCATGAAAATAACTGGACCAGTCTTTTCATGTAGTATTCGTCACCAATATCATGACAGAGTTGAAAAGCCCTGACTGAAGAATGTGGGTCGCATTCTGAAGCCATGTAAAAGAATATTTTGCCAAGCAGCTCTTTCGGTAATGACAACATGATTCATACTTTTTAACATGAAAACAAATTACTGAGCAGCATCGCTTCTGCAAACACGACTGCTTTTAAATTATTGCAGCATTTCAAGGATGGCATCAAAGGCAACAATTCTATTGTTTTTGGCAGGTCTGGTGTACAGCTTGTTTCAATACACAAGACCCTTGGTCATGTACACACAGAGTGGTCGGGTGCGAAAGTTTGGTGTTTGTAGAAATCGAGGTGAAACAGTGTTTTACAAGTGGCACGTCATTATCATAGTGTCCATTGTTCTTTCAATCATCACGATAAAGCTGCAGAAATTGACTACATGAGTGCCCGACAACTCCAAAAGTCACTGGCCAATTTGGTGTTGAGAAGATAGTCATATGGAATGTAACAGTACCCGCCATCACCCCACCGCTGACTCCAAGAGTTGCACACAATAAACACCCGCTTGGAGTCATCGTATCCAACAATTGTCATGGCATGGCCACCAACAGCTTTTTCTGATGCTGGCTTGGGCATAGGTACTTTTCCGTCTCGACTCACTTGGAGACTCATGAAACTGGCAAACACGGTTGCTCCAAATGAAATTGGAAACCCATCCTTGAGACATTTTTTGATTTCAAGTTCATCCTGACGGATTGCCAAGTAGGTAAACGAAGTGAACTTGTTGGCTGCTTCAATGGCACTTGGTGATGGCTGGACCGAAAACCGCCGAATGATATAGGGCCACTTTGCTTCATCGCAGACATGTTTTGATGCCACTCCTTTGTAGCCATCACGAATAGCCATTCCAGTGTCGTATTCAACAGGAAGTCCACCAGCCTGTCGACCGAAAAAGTAAATGTACAGACGACTTGCATTGAAATTGTCGTTTTTCTTTTGGAGACGCAGAACATGGCGGATACAGTATGCGACCGAGTTGGCCACACAGGAGCCTAATGCACCCTGGTCGTAAATGTACCCCCAACCTTGACGCAAATCCACTTTTTCAGGCAGGTATGTCGCATCAATGGGGGACTTGAGCGTTTCCGCAAATGCCCAATCGCGCTCATCCGTACTTCCAAACTGGTAATTGAGCGGATAATGTGACGGGTCGTGAGTGACAAGGTGATTTGGGTTGTCTGGTTCTTCGACCTGTTCCTCCAGTGTCGTTTCCTCGGGTAGTGAGCGAGGCACCTCTGCTCCCTCTTCTGCTACCAGTTGTTCCTGTGGTTGTTCGAGGGGGCGAGAGACCTCAACATTTTCTAGCTCACCGGCCCGTAGCAACTCTGCGTCTTTGGATGCCCTGGTAATTTCGTTGAGAAAGTTGTCCATCTGAATTGTCTAAAGATATAAATCAAAAAAAATGGTGACATGCGCTTTCGTCTTGTTTTTTCCAAAGAAATTGGTAAACGAGCATGTCATACTTTGCAGGGTCATTTCGGATACAGGGAAACACTGTTTCGAATGTGACCATGGCTAATAGTTCCATTTCGAATTGCCAGCTGGACATGTCTCAGCAAAAGATTGTGAATGTGGCTCTTCCCACGACAGACGGGGATGCTGCGAACAAGTTGTATGTGGACAAGGCTGTGAGTGAGACCGTCACAATTGTCCGGGTTTATCTGATTGGAACACAAAAGGCCACTTTTTCAAGCCCTCCAATTCCTGGAAGTTACTTTGTCACCATTTCATGCATGGAAAGTGGGGGTCCCACTGCTGGATACGTCGTGTCAAAGAATGACATTGAAACTCCTGGTTTCGTCAATACCCTCGCGCAAATGCACAGCAGGTCAGGAGAAAGATTGGAACTGTCGTGGAGTGCGAATGAAGGAATGAGTGTGTTCAAAACTGGCCCCAATTATGACGGTCTGTATACCATCAAGATTCACTGATATCGATATGAGAGAATAGTACTTGAACTGTTGCACACCCCCCGTTGAAGACCCTCAGAAAACTCGTCCCAGGGCGCGTTATCCAAATTAAACACCGCAACTCCATCCATAGTAATCACCCATTCTAGTCATGTCCTCCTCAGCTGCCCCCAAGACCACCAAGGCCACCAAGCCCGCCAAAAAGGCCCCTCGCAAGCAGACAAAGGCGGCCCCATCAACTGACCAGCCAGCAGTGGAGGCACGAGCAGTTGAGAGTGAGGTTCAGGCCGCCGCTCCTTCGGACACACCTGCGACAGGTGGTGATGACGAGGTCTTTGTTCCCCGTCCCGGGAGTGGCGAGCGCTCATTCACCGTCACCGAGGTGATTTGCTCTGGCCAGGATACCTCGGAATGCACCAAAGGGCGTTTCATTAGCAAGGACCCAGCAGGTGCAGCCCGCAAAGCTGCTAGCAAGATTTTCAAGAAGCTTTTCAATGATGGCGAATCGATGCCCTTTGAAATCCATGTGCGCGAGACCACAAAGGGCAGTAAGAACAGCGAGTTCAAGTACACTGCCACACGTTCACTCATTGACCAACGCGAGGTAGCTTTCAAGACCAAGGATGGTTCGACCACAAACGCCATTCCTTTCAAGTACGAGGTCAAGGTTCGCAGTCTGGCCGCCAAGAAGGCAGCTGCAGCAACCACTGCTGTTGCCGCACCCGCAACCGCCTAGTGAGTTTGTCAATTGTGTCGATTTGTACCTAATATCTTTGAAAAACTGATGAAAGTTCTTGTTTCATCAGTTGATGTTCAATTAAATGTTGCGTTGTACTAAATAGCAATCCAATTGAAATGTTCAAATTTCTCTCCTGGTTCTTTCCGTTCATTCAACCTTACCAATAACTTCATATCCACCAAACTCTCATCAAATGACAAAAGTCTGAATGAACCTCCTCAGAGTTTCTGCACAAGTCATTGGTCGGTTGTTTAAGGGCCCATGAACGCAGACCCTTCACCCATTTGCTAGGCAAAAAGTGAAATT